ACGAACATTGTGACAGTATCCATAAAAAAGCTACTAAGTGATTGTTTGTGCTGCAGACCCTCAAGAGAGTTGGACTGGGAAGTAACGATCTTGTGTTAGTCTACTGTAGTATTGTTAGATCCATTGTCGAGTACACCTCGCCAGTTTGGGCTGCAATCCCTTTATATCTGGACGAGTTAATTGAGTCTGTACAGCAGAAAGCTCTCAAAATAATATTTGGCGGAAACCTATTTATTGTTCTGGCCTGATCATCCAGACCAATTGGGTTAATTACGTTTAATGCAAGGAACTGATATTGTGATAGCATACAAGAGTACCGTTTCTGTATGATGTTGAGGACAACATTTTCTTTTAGAGGGGAAACATGTAGAGGACTAAGTAGAGAGGACTGAAATGGACTGGGCCCAAGCCCTGAATCGTGAGATGATGCAATCGAATGTAGTAGGAACGACTGAGTGTCGAGTGAAGTAAAGATGTTGAGTTTAAAAGATAATTTGTCGTTTAGCTGTTGTCGTTGACCCGGATTGGGCTAACAACTGCTGGACAGTTTTGGTTTTAGGTCAAATCTCCCATTCTTCATCATAATCCATTTTCAAAGTCGCTTTGAAGTTGCTTTATATCTTACCGGATTTTTTAACCAACATTTGCTTGAAATTTGGTAATGTTTAGTAATAATGTTTACTATTTCACAATAGGATTTTTTTATAGTAGTAACAGATCATTTCTTTAGATGCATTGCATTATCGCACATGCGCAATTCAAACTTTGATGCTCCAAAATGCTTTTCTTAAGGGTGGTTTTTCTCTATAATAATGAGGTTTTAGACAGGTAGTCACAATTGGAGGTTCAACTGTACCTCCCCTTTCAGTAATAATGTTAATAAATGCACTTTGAATTAAAACACCCACAACTCAATGCAACTCAGTAAGCAAGCATATATTTTTCAATGACTTGTTGGATACAAAAGTAATCTTGAATTACTGTCCTGGACGTGTCAATGCACATGTGGTGCAAAACCAGTCAGCACGTGGTGTTCTTTTAACACCTGCACATACCCTAAAAATCAAACAAAAAAAACTTTTAAGCCTGCAATAATTACTGTCCGTGTGTCGCTCTTATAATGTGAGCAGTTTTACACCCATAAAAAGTACATGTCGCTGTATTTCCAGTCATTAGGACAGTCGCTTAGAAAACAATGGTCTAAAGTAAATTGTTACTGGAAGGTATACCCAAAAACAGTAAATCCTTATTTCACATTGCTCCTATGCAAACAATGCTCAGATGAGGGTAGTGGGGTACATAAATTTAAAAAAAGTACAGTAACATGTTGTCGAGAGCTCCTGTTAAACTAGAAAGCAAAAATATAAAACTTTTATATTCATTTCTGAGACAACTTTACTTAACCCTTCCGCTCCCAGAGACAGTATTGAGAAATTGATAAATCAGTCTTAACATAGTACTTATCCCGCTCACTGTTGGGTGAGAAAATGTCACAGACTCTTTCCAGTTTTTCAATTCTTTTTCTTTGCGTGACGGGCTTAGGCTACAAAAAAAATTTTGACCAGGAGGTCTTGTACATTACTTGTCAGTGCCTGCCGGAAACAATCAATGAACCCTTTTTTTGTCTCAGTATCTTGTTTCATTTGTTAGATTTACTGAGTTCGTCCCGTGTGAATACTTCGCTAAAGTTTCTGTCGCTTTATAATGCTGGTTGCATTTGCGAAGCTATGAGCAAAATGGCTAGATTACTAATTACTCCTGGCTAGTGTTAAATCTACTTTAACTTAATGGGAAGATGCCGGCAAAACGAATCCGTTTTAACCTACGTCAAGTTCGACCACTAAACTGCTTAACAAGAGTGGGAAATGATTTCTGTAGGAAATCCTTACTTGGTTATCGACTTAGGTAAGTTTAGCTTTATTTAGCGGAGCAATTGCTGCTAAGTCGTGATTTTTAATACTTCGGTTTTTTGTTGATGAAAAATACGGAGAAAAAAATATTGAGCAGAAATTACTTTTGTTGGCACGTGGTTTCACATAATTTTCGATAATGTATTACTAAAAGATTCTGTCCAGATTTCTTGATATTTTATCAATTTTTTTCTATCACACGCCACCCAACAAACGATCGCTAGCCTCAGGCATTTGGCGCTTTACTAGTTTGCTTTTGCATTTTGATCACCGTCTCATGAAAGTGCTTTTAATTATTTCTGGCAGGAAATATGTACCGCGTGTGTTTGTTTGGCGCCCAGATCAGTGATATCAGTAATCAAGAAAAAAAGAAGAGATTCCATGCAGGTAAGAAAACCTAGTAATTATATCACTAGCTTTTGATGTTAAAAATTATTGTTCTGCATTGTTCTATTCTGGGTCAACACTCGAGAGAGTCAACTCTTTTCTCAAAAAAATTTCGCGGACAATTAACCTCGCTGGGTCATGCTGGGTCCCCTTGTTTCTGAGCTTTTGTTATCTGCGTTGCATAGTACTAACCTTGGGTAGTGAATACCTGAAAACTGCAGTTAACTTGCAAAATGCGATAATCATTCCCGTAGTATCCTGGGTAGTGTATACCTGAAATCTACAGTTAACTTGCAAAAATGCTCTAATCAATGCTGCAGTATCCTGGGTAGTGTATATCTGAAATCTACAGTTAACTTGGAAAAATGCTCTAATCAATTCTTTAGTATCCTGGGTAGTGTATACCTAAAATCTACAGTTAACGTGCAAAAATACTGTAATCATTCCTGTAGTATCTTGGGTAGTGTATACCTGAAATCTACAGTTAACTGGCAAAAATGCTCTAATTAATGCTGCAATATCCTGGCTAATGTGTACTCAAAAAATACATAACATTGACTTATGGAAGTGATAATCTTATTCAACTCTTACTCTTTTCTACCAATCATGGTCAATTAACTGCTTTCTCTTATTCCATTATATTTTTCAACACCGGCTCGAAATTGATTTTGGCACCAGTGTTGCCTTGAACAAAGTGGAGTAAAAGAGCAGTATAAGAACAGTTATTGCAGTATTTTGTGTTAGTGATCTAGGAGCCTCTGAATTTGGCGATTTTGCGATGGTGACATATCCCCAGGACTATTTCATTTGCTTGATATGAAAGCAGTACAAAAAAATCTTAAATCATATCGGTACTTGTCTGTTAATTGTTTGTCGGCTTTATAAGGATTTGATGCCTTTACATACTGATACAGGACCATACAGTAGTTAGCACGTTTGTTAAATTTGGTAATCTTAAATTAGAAAGGAGCTACTTTTATGAATTTCATGAAAAACATTTTCCCTGCCTTTCAGGAAGCGGCTTAAATAGTTTCAAAAATGTAGTGCAGTCACAAAACTGAATTCTTGAGTTTACCTCCATTTCATACTATCTTACTGCCTGAAACTGAAAAAGACGCTATGTAAAATGTTTTTGCCATTTTATTATTACCGAAATAGTAAGTGCCTCGAAAGAGCAGTTAGCGGGACAGAAAAAGATGTAAACCTTGCTTTAATTGGATATAGCCTGTGTAGCAGGCGCTAGGAAATAAATGGGCGCAAAGAAAAAAAGTGCGCGAGGGAGACACGCGAGGGGAGAGGGAGCGCCTGCACGGAAGGCCCCCGAAAATCGTTTCCCGCCCCCTATCCAATTACTTGGCAGCGCTGCGTGATCTGTCAAATCTTTTGACAGAAAACTGATATCACTTCGCGCACTGAAACGCACATTTGCGGGAAATTCTGGAACATGTTGGTCGATTCCAGCGGTGTATTGCAAGCAAAATCAAATCGCGGACCAAAACAAAAAGAGGGAAATCCTAATATTTTCTGTCGTTTATGCAAAAAAAATTTGCGAATAGTTTACGGGCCTATGGTTACGAAGAAATCTGGATTTTCGTCTTACATGAATCTATTCAAGCCGTCCGCGAGGGAAAATGACTATGGTTGAGTGATAGGTCAAAGTCTCCATCAGATCGGGATATCTGTTGAGAAAATTGAAGGAGTGTCAAAAGTTGTTTGCTCTCCGTGTGGAAGAAAGCTTTTAAAGTTATGTGGCATGTTTAGTTCTGTTTCATCGGCACTTGCTGAAGTTTCTTGTGAAGGCGATGGCGGTGAAACGTTTAAACGAAAGATTGGAGCTGTTTTAACTCCGGGAAGAAGCCCTGGAAATGCTAACAGGAAACAAAAACGGGTGACTTCCCCGTCAAAGCAGACCGAAGGCTGCGTTCCTCGATCGAAAAAGACGCTTTTTGACAAAGGAAATCGTTCAGAGTCTGAGATCGCCGATTCTGTGCAAGCGATTTCATCATCGGATGCTATGTTGTCGAAGTTAAACGTGGACGACTTGGACACGTCAAGTGGTTCCAAAATCAAAGTCGTAATTGCTTTTCCTTCCGGACACGTCCGCGCACAATCCACGTTTGATGGCGAAGTGCAGTCTGTAATCATGTATCTCGCTCTGGGTCGTTGGGGCCCTGCGATGCGAGCGATGTTTCACCATCGAGATTTGTTCGCAGAACTTCTGGCTGCAGTGCAACAACAAGCCAACCGAGAGTTCGCTGAGTACAGTCAGTTCGACAGTTGCCTGAAGATAACCAGCCCAGATCAACTTGGAGTTTTTTCCAACAGAGCGCTTGTTAAGGAGTTTTCGGTTCAGTGCCCGATATTTTACTCTGTCGTCACTGGGGCTTGCAAGGACGCGTCCGATTTAAGCTCCATCAACACGATAACGCTTGCCACTTCTTCGATTGCCAGGACAAGAAATAGTACCATGTCTGCTGTTGCATACAGGATTTCTTGTATACTGTATCATAGTGGTATCAGCAGCAAGGATGCCATGAGACTCATTCTTGGCATTTCCATGTCTCCCGACATGGTCATTTCCATGCATCATAAAATGGGAGAGAATTTTGACCATAAGGTTCATCTTTGGAAGAAAACCTGACATCAAGGAAATTAATCGAGGAGATTAAAGTGCAGCAAATCCAAGATCTTCAAAGTGAGGATATGGATATCGACGTTAATCTGGAAGAAGTTAAGCTTAGTGAATACAAGTGGTACAGCCATGAAACGTACAAGAGGTCAATGAGTTTACTTGAAGCCGAAAGAAATTTCGAAGGGGCGTCTTTCACGGAACAGGATGTCCTAGAAAGATGCATCAATAGGGCACTGAATAAGTTAAAGGAGGAAAAGTTGCCTCTGTACAGGTAAAAATTAGTACTTGATCATAAAGAAGCTAGTAGCAAAAAAATAAATTTTATTCAAAATAAAGAAATGACCAACAAAGTAAAACATCATTGCAAATGAAAAATATTATGTGATAACAAACAGGATTTGTCTGCTGAACACTTATAGAAACAAATAATTTTTTTATTTTTCGAGGTCGGAGTCTTCCTGTTGGTACCTTTTTTTCACCTTGTTTCATATGCAGTCACAGACAGTCCTTACTAAGCAATCTTAATATTTTTTATTGAGGGTGCGCCCATAGTGGCACCGAAACCAAAACATAAAATCCCTTTTCTGTGACCCCATTATGGGTAACAACCTCACCCCAGTTGTTCAAAAGGTGGAGGTGGATAGCTCTATGCAGTGGATAGTGCAATTGGTTTCGCAAATGCTTATTCGCTAAATTTATCTAGTGGATGGCTTTATCCAACGGTTCAACAACTGGGGCGAGCTGATTTCACTATATCTGACAGCAGTTTCAAGACCCTTTTGTCAGGACTGTCAACCCCTGTGTCTTCAAATATTGAGAATAGATATGAACAACTTGTTCTCATTTTTTTTTTAAGAATTGTCAGTGATAATATTGACTACGAGATTACAGCTCGTGTACAGACAAAGGATCATGTGAACCGGTCCCTCCACTGGACGCACCAGTTTGCTATTGTTGATAGGGTGCTCAATCCCAATCTCGACGATACCGGTCCACAGAAAGATGTCAAGAACTTACAGCTTGTGGAGCTGTTACCAGATGAACGTGTGCAGAAAAACCTTGTGTTTCAATGGTCTATCCTGATCAGCCAAATAGTGACTAAGTTTCTACCTGCATTTAGACCCTATCAGGCCCATGTGGTATATCACATACCACACACATATTCTGCTGAAATGGCATCAAAATCAGAGACTGTGAGTCTGCAAATAAATTGTGTTTATTATTTAGTTTTGGTTAATCTTGTTATTGTATTTTGCCAATTGCTGCATTAAAAATTTGTATTTTGCTTTGTGTTTCTACAGTGTTCACATGGTATGGAATTTAAGAACCCAAATGTTGCTGCTGACATGTCACAAATACTTAAGAGCTTCCACCAGAAATATGTGCCCTGCGTTCAAGATGGAAATAATCGAACGGTACTCTCAGCAGTTCCACTGCATGGTGATCAACTGTTAGAAGAAAGGGCAAGAAATGTACAATGGACATTCAGAGATGGAGAGAGCCAGTATGACAGACTGGAGGGCTTGACAACTGAACATGCAGATTGGCATGCAAAGGTCACATTATACAAGGTTGTAGGCACTGAAACAGTTTTGTTATTAATACTAACTGGATTTTTGTATGCAGGTAGAAGCCCATGAAAAAAATAAATAAATAATGCCATTATCCCAGAAAAGTCACATGTCAAAATGTGGGTCACCAAATCTCTGGATGAAAGAATGCTTTTTAGCTTTTTTGTACTTTTGAATTTAGCCAATCTTTTTCAAAAAATAATACATTGTAATTTTATTTTTAAACATTCATTGTACGCTTTCTATTTCTAAGGAGATTAAATCAGTCATAAATACCATTTCATTATCATGTACAAGTAATCAAATAGTGCAAATATCAGGATCTCAAGATTTTAGTTCTCCAGTGGTCAGCCTCTGGTTAATAATTAAAAAAAAAAATAGAAAATAGTGAAAAAAAAAAAGTAATTATTTTTCTTTTCTTTTCCTGAATCAATCACAGTCTGAATTTGACATGTTTGTCAACAATAAATCAGCTGCTGAGGTTGGAACATCCCAAGCAAGTATGAACCGCTGTGGGAAAACAAATGCTGCAAAGGGAGTACAAAATCATTACAATTAATACAAGGACTTCCATGCCAGAGAGATGGAAGCTCACATCTGTGCGTCTTTCATGGACATGTGTGGAATGACAAGTGTTAATGGTATGAGAGAAGTTCATTAATTAAAGTATTAATTCTTTACGTGCTTGACCTGCAAAGAGTTAATGAAAGTTTAAACAAGGATCCCTAAGACTTTTTGAATGAACTAGGGCCTACTGGGACATGACTTGTATAGGTATTTTAATTTGTCAGGGTTGTGGATCTTCTTGTTGAAGTTGTAATAATAATTATTTACTATTATTAATAAGATGAACAATAAATCAACAACTATTGTAACCTTTTGGTAATTTTGCTTTCGCAGACACACCCACCTGTATATTTCCTAGTCAAGATACAACTAGTGATGAAAAAGGCAAATGGCTACTAAAGTTATGCATGCGGCATGTAGAGTTGTATGTTCTCCGCTCAGATCAGCTTTTGTCCCTTGTGCAGCAGACTACTGAACTGGACCAATTGACCAGGGAACAACACATGTGTCGGTTTGAAGGCTGTGATAAGAGCTACCTCTTACATTCAAGAAGAGTGAGGTAAGGCGAAAGTTTTTTTCTAGTTTCCACTTACATGTATGCTGTCTAGTAATAATCTAGAAAGCCTTTTAATAGATGTATCTTCTCACACAATCAGCCATGTAGAGATGAAAAAAGAGAAATGTTCTGTTCCAACTTTGTCATTGGTTTGAAATATATTTTCCTTGTTTTTTTGATGTCCTGCATAATCTTACCCCCTAAGCAGTGGTGGATCCAAACTGAGGCCCGCAGGGCTGAAAAATTTTTTTTCGGGAGACCGGGCCACCTCCTTATCTAAGAGTCTGGATGCCCCCCCCCCCTTATCTCAAGGTCTGTATCCTGTACCGCTAAGAAGGTAATGTAATTTGTGAACAAAAAAAGATAGGACCATTAAATAGTAAAAAATATATCAGTAAGTATCATAGTCTCAAAAAGCCATTTTTTCCTATACAGACATGAAGTCATAGACCATCAACTGCACTTGGAAGCTTATAGGGCAGATGAAAGAGATTCATTTGGTTTTGTTTTTGCCGTAATAACTGTGGACTTGTGTTCAGCACCACCCATACACGGAACAAGTTAGTTATTTAAGAGCTCAGTAATAATGGGAGTTGTCATGGTGAACATTTTGAAACACGTTCATTATTACGTTAGTTTGCAGTCACTAACATACAACTCTCAGAAAGAACTTCTCTCTTAGTTGATAGGGAACTTAAACAAAAGAGCGACACACGCCACCCGGAAGTGAGGCCTTCTCCCTTTTTACATGCCTTGACGCTAACAAAAAATTTGTATTGCTGCCTTTCTTTTCTCTTATAAAGACAATTTACCTGAGAGTTTTAACCAAACCACTGCCCAATGATGCAAAAAGCCCACTATCGGTTGATGTCCGTCGCTCAAAAACACTTTTCCTTAAGCTTACTAACAACCATAAGTTGAGCATAGGAAAAGAAAAACAAAAAAAGAAAATTATACAATTTCTCCTGGTCTGAGAAATTTTTAAGCTCAAATTTAAGTAACTATCTCTTAAAAGAACTTGAAAAGAATACAAAAGCTGGAGAAGTGTTGGCATGAATAGAGCGGTTTTCACTTGACTGTCGAAAGTAATTGGTTTTGGTTTTGGTTTTGGTTTTACTACGCCCTTTGGTTGGTTAGTGTATTTACTTTGGTTTTGGTTTTACGACAGTCAAGTGAAAACCGCTCTATAACTGATGTGCATGTACAGCTGTATGTTAAAAATTTCTGTCTCCCACATTTATGTTATGTTATGAATGTTATGTCTAATCTGTGCTGTTTTTTTAGGCACGAACATCAGAGTCACCCTGATTTTCAGCCAGCGGAAACAGCATCCAAATCAAGTGATGTCAACAAAGATGAAGATTACTTGTTCAATTATCATCAGGCTAAGATGTCATTTGGCTTGATTTTAATGGCATTTGAGGATGCAGTGAAAGAAGGTGATGGTCAAAGGCTACATGAGCTCTACCGGCTCATGCTGTTGATCTACAAGTCCAAGGGCCACCACAAGTATGCTTACGTAACTCTCCTTCACTTGGTGAAACTGAGTGCTCTCTACAGTGAGTTTGAGGCCCACAGAGCAAAGTGGAACAGAGGGGTTAACACTACAGGAGGTAAAGGGAAGAACATTCCCCTTGACCTGTTAAAGGAGCAGAAGAACCTGAGTATCAAAACCCTGTGGCGCAACCTTGGTCCAAATTTAAATGAACATAATGCAATGCGACTGGCTGGAATTGTCGACCCGACTGATGACATCTTGGCAGGTGTAGACCGAGACTGTAATGTGTCAAACAAGTCTGCAAGTCGTTCTGTTGCAAATAAAGAGGAGGCTGTTAAGCAAATCATAGAAGACCTTGTTTCAAAGCAAGTTTTTACATATACAAGGGGCAGAGAAGGCCACCCATCATTTCCTGAATTTAAGTCGGACCTTCTTTCTGGCCTTGATTACAGAGACCTGCACAAGTGGATGACAGACTTGATTGAAACATGGGCATCAATTTATCAGCCTTAGTCAGAAACCATTGTTACTGGTAGTTGAACCAAAAATGTAAAGGGGCTGTGTCACCCAGGTAGTTGCTGTCTTTTTAAAAGGTGTGTGATGTTAATATTGAATTCCCAAAACTAGTGGTCAATTTTTGTTATCAAGACTATAGTTAGCCTTTAAAACTGTTTCCATTTGTCTATTGCTACGAAATGTTTAATTCTATGCTTACAATAATTACCAGAAATAATTACAGAATTTGTTTGGTATCTTCTTCATAACTTTACCGGAGTTTTATTTTGTGTAATAATGTTCTAGCACAACAGTGGTCTGCAACTGCAATATCCTTGTGACATAGCCCCTTTAAAATTTAGGTTATTTTAGTGGTGGATGTAGTGAATAATATCAGTCTTACCGGCAGATTCCAAGGTCAAGGAATTTATTGTAGAAAACAAGATTATTTACAAAATTGAAGCATGAATTTGTGGCGGATATTTGAAAAGCAAAGTTTAATTAATTAATACGAAGAGGCTCATTTCATTGCCTCCTACACGAAAGCTCTTTGATTCTACAGCTTTGGGTAAATATTATTACAGGAAAAGTATAAGCATTCTTCTTTTCATTTGAATTTTGTTAATGAATTTTAACAGAACTGACAGATTTAATCATTGATAAATTATGGATCTCCAGGCTGCAACCTATGCGGGGACAACTGGAATGTCTTGAACATAATAGTTATGAGCCAATATACTCAGGTTTTAAAATTACTTAACATAGTCATTCTGTAAATGTATTCATGGTTAGATTTTCATCTTCTGGTAATTCATTATCACTATCAAAACAAATATCAGAACCCAGTTCCATTGCCAGTAGTTGCTCCAGTGGTAACCAGTCCTCATTTGATTTTACACTTAAATTTGCTGCCTGCAACATTTCAATAGACTCGTCAAAGTTTGGTATGTCAAGGAAAATTTCCTGAATGATTTTCAGAATTTTTAATGCATGGTCAACAGAAAAAACTGGACAAGTATTAACTATGTCATGAACTGTAAAAATATGGTGACAATTTTGGGTTACATCTTCTACTAACTGGCTTGAGAAAACTTGCCCACAACATTTGGTTTTTGTCATCCTTTCTTGTAGTTCGATAAGTGCAGCTTTTAGATCAGCCTTGTCTTGATTGCTGACTGGTCTAGATAAGCACTGTCTTTGAGGAGCTTGTGCAGAATTTTCACGTTCAAATAAAGGAACTTCGGCAGAACATTTATCTCCAGAACATCTGCATAGATATGAACAGTAGCTGCAACAGTTGTGATTTGGTTTCAACGGTTCAATGTTTTCATCAAACTCCTTGTAGGCAGCTACACGCAAACAACCATCAGTTTTAACAAAACGCTTGATGCTCTCTTCACATTGACTTAGTTGCTGTCCGTGATAGACAATTAAGGAATAGCTGTTTTTTCCATCCCTTCCAGCACGGCCAATCTCTTGGTGCTGGTCCAACAAATTTCGAGCTGGTCCCCAGTTAATAATATACCTCACATCTGGGAAATTGACCCCCATGCTCAGGGCTGAGGATGAAACTATTACTCTAGGCTTGCCACTGGATTTTAATGCCTCAACTATACGCTCTTTGTTATGGCCCCATGATGTAGAATGGTATATACCAACGAGGCAGTTGCAAGGCAGTCTTGGAAGTGGGGGTGAGAATGCATTCTCTCCAAGTTTCAACATTAAATAGTTTGTAACACAGGCAATTTCATTCAGGGTGTTACAAAAAATAATTGTCTTTGGCATAGAATCTCCATTCTCTTTGATGCAGGTTGTGAGCCAGTCAAGTTCTGATAGAAGATGTTCTTTCTTGTTTTTCTTCACGCTAAATCTTATATTTTTCCTGTTGGGACTGATGCACAACACCAAGGGCTGTTTCAAGACAAGTTTGTTCGATACAACTGTCAAAGTATTTTTGTCAGCAGTTCCTGTTAAAGCTGCAAGTGGTGTACCTTTGGAAATAAACATTACCATTTTTCGTTTAATGATTTTGTTGGAAACTACAGTCAAAACCTACAAAGTCTGTCTTCTATTTTGGAGTTGTTATTGGCAGTGATTTAAAGACTTTTTAGATTATAAGGTTATGGATTTTTTATGAAGGATAATAATTGTTGACAACCAGACAAATAAAGGAACTTGATTTTCGTTCTCATTTACGCAAGATATGAAGTCACTTGTTACCATCTGTGTTTAATATTAGACCTGCAATAATGTAGTGGGAGAAAATATCTCTTGTATGTATAAAATCCCTTCACAGAATTTAAAGTAAGAATGCATGTAGGAGAATAAAAGAAATTAATTCTACAACAAACTAAGTTGAACAGCGGTTTAACCGAAAGACGGCTTTTCACTGAAAAATAATAAGACTACCGAAGGAGGAAAGGAAAGCAGCCAACACATTTTGTGGGGGTACTTTGTATACAGTGGCGTGTAATATATACAGTAAATTTGACATCCTACCTTCTCTAAAAAACGATCGCAATGTGGCCAGTTCTCCGAAAGAAGCACGGAAGACCTTCCCTTGTTTTCCACTCTTGTTTGAGGAATTATCTGACCTAAGAGCAAAGAAACTACCCGTGAGATAAATTTCCACGTGAAAGAAATACCAAAACAGGTAGGCTTACAAAATACACAAAGGCAGATTCGAGCTTTTGCCATGAAAAAGTTCAATTTCCTCTATTTTACCTCAGTCCGGTCCAGGTTTCGACAGTATGAGTTTCGTCGACGATACATGCCGCCAAATTCTTGTTGAACAAGGAATTCATTTTCTTCAACGATTCAACAAATCTCTTGTCTGTGGCAGCTTCTGCTGATGCATATACGATGTCAACCTTTCCATTATGAATATCGTCCAAGCACTCCAACTTTTCAGACAAATTAAATCCAGATAATCCCATCGAACTGATCTCAGAGATCTGATCTTGAATTATGCTGGTAAGTGGCGTGATAACGAGAATTGCAGCAAAACCTTCACCGCCTTCTCGACGGCCTTTCGCCTTTGCCAGGAACACCAACAACTGGAAAATTAAGCTCTTACCAAATCCTGTTGGCAAAACTGCAACTACATCCTTTCTTTTGAAGAGATGGCGTAATGCACTATCTTGCTCTCGCTTTAAAATGAAGCTAAATCCCTTATTTTTTAACGCTGCTAACACTTCTTCCAAACACGATTCGTATAAGTCGTCATCCATGTTGGTTCAACTCCGTGTTTGTTATAATTTAAGTCTCGTGTTTCCTTTGATTGACAGTTTTCTCGCCCAGCGCGGTTAATTTTTCCCGCGGGAGTCAATTGGAAATATCCGCACTCATAGAGTGCAAGTTGAAACGATTTTCGGGGGCCTTCCGTGCAGGCGCTCCCTCTCCCCTCGCGTGTCTCCCTCGCGCGCGTTTTTTCTTTGCGCCCATTTATTTCGCCCATTTATTTCCTAGCGCCTGCTACGCAGGCTATAATTGGATATTGCGGTTACTTTCATTTCAGTTCATGGTAGCTTGAGTTACTCTTTTGTGGGCAATTTACGGAAGTCCTATGGTACTCAGCTGACACCTCAAGAGCGTAGAGCTGTCAGACCTTGGTTTTGAATTACTTATGCAAATAAGCTAGCTAGCTAATTTGCATAAAATCTTTTCATGCTTCAAAGCTCATCATGTAAATGTTGCAGCGTAAATACTTACATGTGGAACCAGTGCTGGCATTCCGTGCATTGCATCCAATCAATTTTACCTGTTCCCTTGCATACAGTGGGTAGCGAGGTGTCCTGGCACATCTAGCATTTGTCATCATCTGTACCTGCTATGTGCACGTAACATCAGTATTATCATGGCCGCTTAAGCAGTGACCATAGACATTAACTCTTGCCTTTGCATGGGCAACTAGTAAATCAGTCTTCGCATTAATAAGAATTATTTATCTTGGGTATCCTGAATCCCTAACTTTGATTGGGTTTCCTGAAATGGTTCTCAGAAAATATCCAAGCTTGTATTGATAACTGATAAATATTTTTTTTATTCATTTGAGTTTCTTTTCTCAGGTATTGCCTTTTACAACAACATAGAAATGCACGTAAAGTCAATTGGAAACCCCAAAAATACCAGAATTCCAGAAAAAGTCAGTAACATAAAACTAAAACAGGGTCAACATATTCTGAAAGATGATATTGAACAGAAATACCCTACTAGAACCTCAAAAACAAAAACTTTTGATGAGGTGAAAGTGTTGTCAGGAATAGTCTGTCCACTTAAACACCTACATTACAACTCTGTAGAGGTGTAGCGTGTATTTATCATAGAGTATGCACCGTTGAAAATTTGCATTGAGTGCTAACGATGCAAGCCCTGAGGTGTCTGGGGGCTAAAGCTACTTACCACAGCAAAGGTTGATCCAGAATACATTAACAGCCTTATCTTATTGGGTAAATGTCAGGGATTGTATGATGGAGGGCTTTTCACTCTCTGTCATACTTGTCAAAGCGAACGTAATTATCAAAGATGCTTTTTCCCCCTGAAGATACTTCTAAACCACTTTTTGTGATTTCCAAGGGTATGCACATATGTCATACGTATATGGTCGCTACGCCCCTGCACTGTATGTTGCTGGTATTGTAATTGTAATTGTAAATATCTTATTATCCACTCCCCACAGGGCTTTTCAGGGATAATTTACAACACTGGTTGGGGGACTTTGCCAGACTGCGTAAGTTGCAGTTTACAAGTACTGAAGGAATGAGTGATGATGCCCCCATACATGAGTGTGAAAGTGAGATAGACCACTACACCGGGCACTATGTGCCCTACTCTTTACGAAGAGTGTGTGGGTTCTTTAACGTCCCACAGATTTATTACATGTGCAAAGGCTTGTGAGACAGGGCCTACGGTTTATCGTCCTTATCCGAGAAGACTAGAAAGTCTAACCATTTGCAGATGTCATTACAAAGGTAGCACTTTCTCCTCAGTTATTTAAAGACCCTGAGTGTTGGTCCGGCCGGGGTTTGAACCTACGGCCTCCCGCTCAGCAGACTGGCGCTCTCCCAACTGAGCTAACCGGGCGGCGGTATGTAAATTGCATTTCACCTTTCTGCTCCTTCAGAAAAATTCCAATGGTCCCATTGACACTTGAGCTGCCAGGACTGTTACTGGAAGCACCAGAATTTACAGAAGAAATATCACCTGCAAAGCCAAACACAGTCATAACGCTTTTAGTGCATTAACAAGAATACATTGACCACCTGCCTAAGTCATTTCACTATTCTGGAATTAGAACATTATGCTGCCTGCTTCACACGTTTGTAGATAAAAAGGGAAAAAAAGAATAATTAAATTTTCACACACATCACATAAATTTTGCTACTGAGGCTCAAATCATGTGCGTTTGGTTGCCAATTATTCCAGTACAAGGGTAGCCTGCGAACCACAGACTATTTCCGCTCATCGCTTATCTCCATTGGAAAAAACCGGAATTGGATGCTTTCACAGGCTAGTACAAGGGCTGTTCAGGTAGGAAAACCCGATTAAGCTCCTTTAAGCCCTGTTATTTTGTCTTTCTTAACAAACTCCTAATTATTATTGAGGGTTTTGTTAAGATTCACCTTGAACATCTGTGACAGCCACAAGATTCTTAAACGCAACTTGAACTATAATTTCTACCAGAAACTTAAGAGAACTCCGTTACAGATCGATCCATGACAAAAAGAACCCACACTGGTATGTTGAAACTGCTTATATGAGCCCAAGACAAAAAACCTGTTTATCCAGCTCTTATCGTTCTTATCTTGTCATAGAAAGCTCTAGAAAACATTACATCATATTCTAATTGGGTCCTTGAAATAAACAAATAGTCACAACACAGTACTCAGCATAAACACGTCTGTTCTATTGCGAGTGTTTCTTCTTCAACAGGTTTCTTAACATCAACAAAACATTTAAAAGATAAGTGATATTCATGCAGCTATTGACAGTACTTCCATATTATTCCATATCACTGGGAAGTGTGAAGAGTTGGTTATATGTTAGAAATAAATGAATTAATAGTGTTGGATAATTTTGCCACATCGCGTTGCAAGCTGTTAATAACAGAACAGAAATTATACATCAGAAGAAGTTTACAATATTGAAGTATGGTGAGCACATTTACCTTCTTTTCCAAATTCTTCCTCTTAGTGTAAAGCTAGCCTTTTTGACACTCCAAGTTTATATCACTTCAAATTAAATGTGTGGAACATCTTTTTTTTTTATTAGTAAAATCCGACTAGTGGTCTATTATCAGTGCTGCATTCTGATTCGTTGACCTACCACTAGGCTATATGTTATAGCCCACTAGTAGCAAAAAGCGGCGGCTTTGAAAACCAAAACAATGGCTTAAAGTTGTTTTGTCTCAATATTCTTGGCCAACTGGTTGGATTTTATTAAAACATTTAGTTCCCTCGCCCTCATGGCCTCTGAGTCAATAGCTATTGCCTCAGAGCCCAGTCGGGCTCAAGGAAAAATTATTAATTACATATTTGAACAAGTCATTGGTTCAAAGTAGATACACTTATTGGATTCCAAAATTAGTATAATTTGTGTTTTACATCACTAGGAAGACATCTAATTTAGCAAAATAGTAAAACCACTTAAATTCAGATAAGTTAAAGGCCCATGTTCACCCAAGTGGATTTGGGCGCTTGTCCCTTTGTTTGGGAAAAATCTATCTGTTGAATGCATTGTTCTGATTGGCTTTCAATTCTCAAATGGCAATTTTAACTACACAAAATTCTCACAATGCATTTAAGGTGACAATGGGCCTTAGCTTCAAGGACATCCGAAGCAGGTCAGAATCCTCTTTCTTTTTTTGAGCTACATTTTAGCGATATGCTTGACAAGTAACAATTTAATTTAGCAAAGAACAATGTAAAATATATTTTACAGTACCTGTATGAAAACTTTTCTGCTCTTTGGAGTGTATTGCTCTGTTGTTCGTTTTGAATTGAGAGTCATTGTCTATAGTGTCTCCATGATCTACATATTTTTTAAATAGAAGGTTGTGTATTAACATCCACGGCCTCAAGGCCTGCAGCTTTTTTCTTAAAACTTAAAGATCTTTTCATTTCGATCAACTTGAAGGTATGATCAATACCCCTGGCCAACATTACAATCAGCACTTGCCTCTGGGGTCTCTTGGGGAGTTGTAAAAACTTCTCCATCACTTTCCTCTGCAAAACAATCACAATCTTACATCAAACCATTAGATACCATACAAAATACATAATGTATGATCACAGGTAAGATTTACAAGACAATTTGTCCAATGATCTGATGTTATGTGCAGATCTCCTTTGCCATTACATTATCAGTACATCACCACCGGACTTAAGTCACTCACTCGCATTTACACTTACTTGGCATAATATTTAGGTCAGGGATTAAAAGTTTAATAACTTGCAAATCTACTATTTATTAGCTAAGCTTCTTCAAGTTTTTCGAGCTTGGCAGAAAGCTGGTTGATGCTGTCCGTTAATTGTTGCACTGAGCACCTGGGTAGTACTATTGGAGCCAGTTATTTCACCTTCAATTAATGTTCCATTGACAAAGTCTTGAACATCGTCTTCATTGCCCTGCATTTCCTGTTGCTATAAATAAGACAATTATGGTGGGATTTGATTAAGTATCGTGGAATAGTAATAATTGTTCAACAGACTGTAATACAGCAGAAGCAGTTCTACCTGTGAGTGTCCCTGCACAAATTAACCCCATTTAAGCTCTGTACATGTGTATATACACAGCTATTTCGAGAAAGGTTGTCGGCAAAGTGCACGTGACAATCCCAAAAGGTATTGTGGGTGGTTTTGAGTTCACTATTCTTCAAAGAAATTTGAAAGAATGGCACGAAAAGCCATGGACATATGTTTGTGGGTGCTAAAGGAGAGCAACAATAGAAGATTAGACAGCTACAGTATCAGGAACAGCGTACCCCATACTAAAATTAACGCTCTAACCAGAAGGTAAATCGGGCCATAATTTTCAACCAAACTTGGGCCGAAATAAACCAAAATAAGGCCTTAAAAAGTTCAACCAAAGGTGAACCAAAACGAGCCTCACTGAAACGTAAATGTTTGAGCCACAAAATAAACCAAAATAGAACCCAAATGCTAACCTAAATCCAGTGAAGCAAACCTGGGCCCAAATTGGGCCCAAATTACACTATCATTTTGGCTGAACG